TTTGCCAAGCTTGTTCCAAGTAGCTGCTTTAGACCACTGAGCCATCTCTCCAGCCCCCAACTTTATCTTTAAATTTCTTATTTTTTGTAGTATTGGGAATTGAACCTAAGGTCTTTGCACTGAACTATATCTCCAGCCAGCCTTTTTCATTTTTTACTTTTTATTTTGAAACAGGGTCTTGCTAAGTTGCCTAGTTTGGGCTCACACATAAGATCCTCCTGTCTTGGCCTTCCAGAGTGCTGGGATTAGAGGTGTACCTCCTCCCACCCACCTCACTCTTTATTTTAATACATATAACAGTATTTAACATTTTGAATTGTATAATTCAGTGGCATTTGTGATATTTACCACCCCGTCTCACCACCTGTCACACATCAGTTCTGTAGGGCTAGAACATGTTCACCACTCTATAAACTCCTGTACCTATCAGCCCATCAACAGTTACTGCCCATTTTCCCATCCCTTCTTGCCTCTGGAACCCACCAATCTATTTTCTGTCTCTGTGGATTGATTCTGCATGTTTCATATAAATAGGATCATATAGTACCTGATTTTTGGCATCTGCTTTCTTCCACTTATGAAGTTTTTGAGGTTTATCCACATTGTAATGTGTATTGAGAACTCCTTTTATAGCCAGATAATATTACTTTGTATAGGTAGACGATGCTTTGTTGTTTATTCATTGGTTGATGAATATTTGGATTGTTTTTGACTATTATGACTAATGATGCTGCAGAATTTGTGTACAATTTTTTTTCCCTTTTGTTTTTTGGTGGAACTGGGGGTTGAACTCAGGCCCTTGAACTTGCCAGGGAAGCACTTATTCTACTGAGCCATCTCCCTAGCTCTGTGTACTAGTTTTGTTTTGTTTTGTTTGTTTAATTCTTTCTTTCTTTTTACATTCATTTAGAGTGTGTGTGTGTGTGTGTGTGTGTGTGTGTGTGTGTGGCCAGCTCAGCCCACCAGGGGGTGCGGCTGGCTGGCATGTGGTGCTGGAGGATTGAACTGTGGTCCCTGTGCTTGTTCCAAGTAGGTGCTTTAGACCACTGAGCCATCTCTCCAGCCCATGTACTAGTTTTTATGTGGACATGTTTCTCAGATACTCAGTAAAATTTTGGGACATATGATAACTTTTAACTGTTTGAAAAACTTTCAAACTGTTTCTATAACAGCTGTACTGTTTTGTATTCTCACCAGCAATGGGTAAGGACTCCAGTTTCTTCACATTATTTTTTCCTGTTTTTTTATTAAGCCTAGTTGTTTCTTTCTTTTTTCTTTCTTTTTTTTCTGAAGAGATTTTTGTTTATTTTGTTTTTTTTTCTTTTCAAAGTTTTATTGATAAACATATAGCAATGAGAGTTTCAAATCAAATCGAAAGTAGTTTCAACAAATAATACACTGCATATATTCTTCTTAGTGGTTAATTGCTGTACAAGATGCAGACTTGTGATCCTACTTACA